CAGCGCTAAAAATTAACCACGTTGCTGATGTTGAAACTGAGATAATTAACTTCACAGACAGTTTGTTGCACTTTGATTCGCTACAGATAGATTACTTCAGGACAGTATCACTGCTCGAGTTTTATTCTTCTCTCACATAAAGACACGTGCTCGGAAGATGTTTGAATCCACCTTCACATGTGAACAAACACTGTCAGTGATGACGTTTAACAAAACTAGACACAGATCCTCAGTCACAGCACTGAATCTGACTCTAAACAGACCAGATTTCTCTCACTGAACATGAAAATATACTGAAAAACTGCAGCTGAAGTAATTAAACTTCAAGAAAATTTACAAATGACGCTTTGTATGAAGTGAAAAGAACTGGCATTTTGCAAAAAAGTGTTCTTTGTCACATTCATGAGCTGATTCTGTCTGAGACGCTGCAGGCTCTTTGGCAAAGTCGATGTTTGATTGCCAAGGTGATAACGCTCATGCACACATGGATGTTTGAGTAGAACAGGACACTTTCAGGGAGAGATCCAGGAGCACTGAAAGGAATCCAACGGTGCACATGGGAATGGACTAACACTACTCTGATTATCAGTCTGCACCTACCTCTTCATAGATGTTTTTGAGCCTGTCTCCACAGTTCTGGTAGGTGGGTTTGGTGTTATAATCGCTGAAGCCCAGCAGAGCCATGCAGCCTCTGGGTTTCAAGACCCGAGCTGCCTCTGCCAGAAACCTCGACTGATCAAACCAGTGCGCTGCTGAAGCTGCCGTCAGCAGGTCTACAGATCCATCTGAAAATGGAAGCTCCTCTGCTGTCCCCTTTCTGCAAATGCAACAGACACAATACACAACCTGCCCATGTAAAGGGATCCTTCTACCTAGTCAGCTAAAAGCTGATCAGCTTGATAATACTCAGGAAAATATATTGCGGTGAAACATGAAGGAAGTACTCAACAAGTGATTTACAATAGAAATGTTCCTCAAGCTGTGGACTTATAAGAGAAGAGTTATAAGAGAAATGTGGACATGGTCTTGAAAGAACAGTTTGGCATTAAGAAAACTTTTATTTACTTTCTTGCTGTGAGCCAGATAAGAAGGCAGATACCGCCCATGGCATGATATTGCAAATCACTTGCTCGAAGTACTTTACTGTACACACTCCTACAGGCTGCAGCCCGGAAGCTCTCCTACCTGTACGTGATGTTGGGGTGCCCTGACACAGCTCTTGCCTCTTCCACTTGACACTCACTGATGTCAAGACCCACTACTTCCTTGAAGTGCGGTGCCAGTAGACGTGAATTCTGTCCCGTTCCACATCCCAGATCCACCGCCAGCTCATGTGGCTGTCCCTTCTGGAGTTGCAGAAAGGAGTTTGCTACTTGTTAATGTCTTTCCTCAGGAAAGGCCTTCATATGTGAAGATAATTTGCACATTATATTTTAAGCATACCTTTTTATCTAAGTACTGAATAATAATATCCTTGAGCCCTGCTGGAGGTGTAAAGCGATACTTTTGGTAGATGGAAGCATGATCCTTCCCTTCAAAGAGCCGGTAGGCCATGGAGTTGCCTTTTCACTCTTCTCTTTACAACTGCGACCTTTTAATCTGGGCTGTAAAGCAGCCTTCTTTGTGGAGCAAAGTTCGCCCGTATTGCCCTTCAGCCTCCTGTTTGACTTTAATTGCTTTTCTGTTAATAAAGCTTCTGCATGTCTTCTCTTGTCTTCTTGCTACAGTCTCTGTTAGAGCTGCTTTCTGTCCGGACACACACTGGACTCCTGTTTTTTCCTGCACTGACGTTTTTCCACATTAATCAAAGCATTAACAGGAAAAAAAATCACTGAACTGAAGCTGC